TGAATTTATGTTGTGTTTGAAATGTCCAAATAACTCTGTTCATTGAGTTTCTCTTTTCAGATTTACTGTGCTCGTTAGTTTTGATTTCTTCGACAACAGTTAACTTGGCACCACTTTGTCTCCTGTTTTGCAGTCTTCTGGACCCAGATCCATCCCCATGCCACTGTCAAATGCATCAGTGCCAAAATCATCTGTTTCCCGTGTGCCCTGCAATGTGGAAGGAATAAGTCCTGAGCTAGAAAAGGTATTCATTAAAGAAAATAACGGGAAGGAGGAAGTGTCCAAGGTAAGGTGACATGGGATGTTTGCATCCTTTTTTTCTTTAATCTTGTGAACTGTCTCAAAAGTCCTTTTATTTTTTTTTTCGGTAACAGCTTTGTTAGATATAATTCACATACCATACAGTTTACCCATTGGAAATGTACAATTCAGTCATTGGTTTTTAGCACATTCACAGAGTTGTGCAACCATCGCCAAAATTGGTTTCACAGCATTTTCATCACCCCAAGAAGAAACTTGGTACCGGTTAGCAGTCATCCCTCATTTCCCGCCAGGGGCCCCAGCCCCTGGCAACCACCAATCTGCCTTCTCTGTCTATGGATTGCCTATTCCAGACATTTCATATAAGTGGAATCTTGCAGTACGTGGCCTTTTGTAACTGGCTTTATTCACGTAACAGTGTTTTTAAGTTTCACCTGTGTTTTAGCATGTATAAGCACTTCATTCCTATTTATTGCCAAATCATACTCAGCTATGTATGGATCTTATTTATCCAGTCATCCATTAATGAACATTTAGTATTGTTTCTACTTTTTGGCTATTACGAATAACGCTGCTATGAAATTTATATACAAGTTTTTGTGTTGACCTGTTTTCATCTCTCTTGGGTATATACCTAGGAGTGGAATTGTTGGTATGGTAACTCTGTTTAACCTTTTGAGGAACTGCCTGACTGTTTTCCAAAATGAGTGCACTGCATTATTTTCCATTCCCACCAGCAGTTCCAATTTCTCCATTTTCACCAACGCTCAAAATTATCTGTCTCTTTTATTATAGCCATTCTAGTGGTATCTCTTCATAGTGTTGATGTGCATTTCCTGATGGCTAATGACATTAAGCATCTTCTGATATGCTGTTGGCCATCCGTGTGTATCTTTGGAAAATTGTCTATTTAGATCCTTTGCCCCATTTTAAAATTGGGTTGCCTTTTTATTATTAAATTGTGAAATTCTTTATTTTCTAGATAAAAGTCCCTTATTAGACATATTATTTGAAAATATCTCCCATTCTTTCAGTTGTGTTTTTACTTTTCACTTTCTTGATATTCTTTGAAGCACAACATGTTTAGTTTTGATAAAGTCTGATTTCTTTTTGTTGTTGTTGCTATTCGTACTTTTTGTGCCATGTCTAAGAAACCATTGCCTAATCTAAGGTCACAATGATTTATTATTTTGTTTTCTTCTAAGAGTTTTATAATTTTAGCTTTCTCTTGTGTTCAGGCCTTTAATCCATTTTGAATAAATCAAAAAGACTTTATAAATACCTGTGTCCCAAAAAAGAAATCTGGACACTACTACATGTGAACCTATATTTAACCAAATTTTAAAGGTATACTCAATAAAAGAAACCAAGTACCCTTTGGCTTAATTACCTCTGATTTTTTTTTTTGAAACTAAAATTTCATTTATGTTATATGTATCTGATATACACATTATCCAATAATGTATAGGTTTTATAACCAATTTAGAGTTAAAAATTCCAAAATCCAAACAGCTCAATTTCATATTTATAAAATAATAAAACTGTTTTCTACTCTCAGTATTGCTTAGCATATGTGAGCATTATTTATAGTTTCCTGCATATCCTACTTGATATGAATGTGGTTGCATGTGTGTGCTAATATATAGCAAATCATCATATGAATGTACCATAATTTAGAAATCCACTGTTGGTGGGCATTTGT